CCCCCACACCCCCACACCCCGCCGTCACATCTTTGGAAGCCACAGCAGACCAGTGCCAACCCATCACCACTCCCATCCACCACCACGTTACTGGGACATTAACTTGTCTGTGTCAGGACATGGCGGTTTTCCATGGGGCTAACCTGCTTTGTGTCTGACTATGGAGTGTGTTTTCCCCCAAAACTGCATCTGAAAGGCAGCGGCGCCATCGTACTGTATGAACAACATCGTCCAGCATCCCCCAAACCTTCAATCCATCCTCAATACAGTCCAGGCAGAGAGGAAAAAAAAGAAAGGGACTCACGCTCAGTCAGTCAGCGGGAGAGTCCTTTTGGTAAAAAAGTGTCAGACATCTTTTAAACAGCTTCAAAACAGGAACTAATTCTAAAAGGAACATAAGCGATGGACCTTAGTTTATCAAATACATTTCAAATAAAAAAATGTCAACATGAGGTTGTCTTTTCTAGTTAAAACTTTGAAGTCAAACATCTTAACCAGTCATGATCTGAAGGTACATATGTGTTATTTTGCCTTTAAAGCCTGAAACGAAACGCACTGTTATGATCAGGAAGCATCCTGATGCTCAACTTTTATTCAAAATAACAATAGTCGTATAATAAAATAAATGGGCCACGTCATTCAATTTAAAATCAACGCTAAAGGTTTAACATCTCCAATGTTTCCTATTTCACGCCTCTAGTTTTGTTCAGAGTGGGTTAATCAAATAAGATAAGCCTTGCGTAATTTCACCCTCATACATGTTTTAAAGCTCCAACTTTAAAGCTGCAACTTTAAAGCTCTAACTTTAAAGCTCCGCCATAGCTTCATGCTCGAGCTATCTGCTCCCGAATTGGGAATTAACCCCAGTCGGAAATAAGTTGCAGCATTTTCAGTCGTTAAGAAACACCCAATGAATAAGTGAACAGACCACGAAGCAAACTCGCCACTCATAATCTGTTGTGGTCGTGAAGACGCAAACGCCATGAAAACTGAAATTTAGTAAAAATCCATAAGATATCGGGGGTTATTTTACATTTTTTATTTGAAAACTCTTTGTCTACTACGACTTCAGTCTTGGAAATGAAGGCTAGTTAACACTGAAAGTGCACAAAGCGACCGCACCGACTGGACTCTGCTGACCTGAAAAAGAAAACTGAAAAATGGTGCGACACTAATTTATCTTCACGCCTTTGTGGCAGCATTGGCGAATGGCAAACAAGTGGCAGTTTATTCCTGGTGCAGATTTCCAAAGGTTAAGGCTGAGTGAGGAGCGGGGGGGATTTGTCATGCTTTTGATATACCTGCTTTTAAGTGGTTTTTTTGTGTTTTTTTGCAGGCAGCTTTGGCATTGTTGACACACCACTCTGCATGCTTTGTGTAAATGTAGAGGATTTCAAAACGACATGAATAGGCAGATGACAAACCGAAAGACAAGCCACAATGCTTTTTATGCTCCTTGTCATCATAATGGGGCAGAATTTAAGCTGGAATCTCATTTTAGGCATTACCAACCGGACAAATAGAGCTGCGTTCAGGAGCATTTTCCTGTTTTCTCCATGTTGTGTCTCTGGGTTCCTCGTTACTTTGACCATTTTTCTACCTTCCCAAGCCAGAAACTCCACTTTCGCTGCCTCCTCCTCCCACCAGACAAGTTGGATCTAATATTTTATTTTCAACATGCTCGCTTCTGTTAACAACACTGTAAACAAAACAACCGACAGCAACGATTTCAATGTCTTCCAGGAGAGTCTGTCTGAAAAAGGGGGCATCATTCTTCTTTGCTCGCATCAAATCAACAGCAGCCACAGGACGTACCAGGGTTCTATTATCTCCCATGTCTGTCTCTGAGCGGTATTCGTCATGTCTCTGGGAGTGGAACTGCGCGCTGCATGTCTGTCTCATAACCGCGTTTTTGTTTCGTGGAGATCCTAATTATGTCCTGGAGGGAAACTAATCTAATCCCCACCTCAGAGAATAATAAACAACTCAATATTGTGTGAATGAGTTATGAGATTATGCCCGAGGATTTTAGATGACGTGAAAGATTAAAGCTAAATCACCCCCGAAAAAAAAGAAGAAGAAAAAAAAGTTCAAATCGCGGCCTGAGATTTGATTTTTTTTTCCACAGTAAAAGTTGGCAATCTAAACCACTGCTGTAGCAGCATGGGTATCGATTAGAAAAAAAAGCCGTAACATCAAATACTCACAAATGAAAGGTTAAACCAAACTACAAAACTATACACAATGTTTTTCTTTGGTTTTCAGCCCGGTCCCGATAAATTCGAGTGCTACAATGTTTACCAGTGCTCGGTAAGCAGCAGATTTCAGCGGGGAACAAAAACAGTTGGAGTTTAACGATAAAATTTGCGATGGAGGAGCTCCTTACATGAGCAGATCATTTGGGTTGCACATAAGAGCCGGCTGATTTTAGCAAGCGAACGTTTATCTATCGCACATAAAAAGCAACTAGAACAAGCTTTGGTGGTCATGCTGAAAAATCATATGCTTTCACTTAGAAAGAGATGCTAAAGAGCGAATTTCGTGTGATCCAATCCCCAGTTTTGTAGCGTTTTGATTGGACGAATGTAATTACATTCATTGTAAAAGTACAATCTTTATGGGACACGGTCGATTTTTTTTCCTTTTTTCTCATCAAACATGCTCACTGCCGCAATTTCCAAGTCATACGGAGGCCGTTTGAAGAGGAAAATCAACCAGAGATTAGAGTCAGAACTGTGTGGATGATAAAAAAACACTAACAGATCCACATTCAAACAGCATCCACTTCTGTCAGGAAACGCTACGTCAGCAGAACTTTTTTTTTTAAATCACATATCATTATAAGCTTGAGTTACTCCTCAGTTTTGATCGTGGCCCTGCCTGAATTAATCACATAGTTAAATGCGTATTAGGCCTCAAAGATTTCTACTCTAAATGTCTGGAGGGCTTTATCTATAATGGGACATGGCATAAAGACCAGATTTGGACATTCATCCATTTCTTTTTGGAATTCAATAATGGATTTTCCTCCTTATTTATCTTTACTTGCCTTGAATAAATCATTACCCAAATGATTCCTATTCAGATCACGCTCTGAAGGATTGACTGATGTTTAGTAACAAAACAGGTGATGAATGCTTGTTGCAAATGTTTGTGAGTTACACTATGATACAAACACAGCTCACAAAAAGACCATTTTTTAGCAGAAAAAAGGGATTGTGACCATTTCAACCCATCTATACACTATAAATATAACCTTTGTGCACTTATAAGCCCTTTGGTATAAGGCTTAGTTGAGCATTTGTAGGACAAATGGCTCTGATGTTCATAAAAGACTAACTTTAAACGCACAAAATATTAAGTAGATGCCCTCTTTGAACAGCTCGCTCATGTTAGCCGATACTTCAGAACAAAACAGACTCAACATACTCCCTTGGTTTCTTAGTCAGTGCTTGGAATTGAAAAATATCTCCAACAAACAGGCACAGAAAGTCTACAGATGTGTTAACTGTGCCGTAACACTTCCTTAATGCATTTATCAATCATATTAAAAACGACTTAAGATAGTAAACAACCTATCGAGCAGGGTTGAGGGAGAGTATCAATCACTTCTGCAAACGCAGGAGTGTTTAAATATTTCATGAAAGAAAAAGTTGCTTTAATTGGTCCAGGCTTGGCTGCTTTTTGAATAAATCCCTGTTGTGATGCAGAGCACACGCATATGCACCACATGAGCTCAGACTTTGATCCAAAGCCTCTTAAGAGAGGTTTTGCCGATTTTTTTCACCCTAAAAAAAAGAAAGAAGAGATCTTACAAACTGTTTAACATCACAAGAAGTCAAAGACTAAGATCAGCCGATGCTGACTCCGTCGCCTGGGAGCTCCGCGCTGAAGTCTGGATTTGGCCCCGCTAAGGTAAACATACATGGGGTGTAATCATGTGTGGACTGCGACACATAGTTACGCGGCCTGTGGAGGGCTCAGGCGTGACCACAGCACTCACTCGCTACACCCCCTTGACGCCACCATGATGTTGAAACAGGGCCTCAAAAATCTGGTATCACAACACAACACACATCCAAATCCAGTTCAACGCACTCAACGCCACAGAAACTGGATTTACTTTAAACGATGCACCCATAAACCCTTTTGTTTAAGATTCAAGGGAAAATATGACGGTCTTGACAAATAAAAGCATCATAGGAGTAACCAAAGTACGAAGTTAATCCTTCACTCACGGTTCTGGTTCCGTAAATGATCAGAAAACGGTAAAAAATACATAAAGAATCAATACAAAGTGCACCCTGTTTCATTAAAGCATACAAAAAACACAGAATTACTCTTTTAAAAAAGCTAAATCCAAAGACTCATACCCTATGAATAGTTTATTAGTTTTTCTTTTTGATGATTTCTTATCGGGTTGCTGTGTTAATTGATCTGTTTGCCTCCCTTTAAGAGCTTCCCACTTTGTTTGGTCCGAACGGTGGAAGCAGCTGCCGGGAAACAGCCGACATCTTTTGTCACACTCCAAGCTGAATTACCTTCTTGAAGGAGTTCTTCTTTTTAAATCCTCCCCGTGTTTCCTGCCAATAAGCCAGGTGCAACAGCTCATTAAGCTTTGCCAGCACTCTTTTTATCAGCATACACTTTTTTTTTTCCTGTTTGAAGCGGTATTGTGCTTTACAAGTGCAAATTGCAAGTGATCCCATCCTCAACCAAAAAAAAAAGCCAACCTGATTTTGGAAAGAAAAAAGTGCTATGAAATACAACCCTATTGGTTATTTTTTATGTATAATCAACAAAGTCATGTTAAGCTGTTAAGTCTGAATAAGAAGTCTTTCTGTTGAACATGTCATTCTCTCTAACAACCGTAAGCACATACTTCCAGAGTGATTTACACCAGCGTCACTCCACCAGAAACACGATTAGAGTGATAACAGAATTCCAGATGTGTGCACTTCAATTGTTACAAGTTGCGTTCAAGGCTGGAGCGGCTCAGCGAGCGTTAGTTTTGAGTCTTCTTTTTCCTCACTTCACAAGCGATAAAGCGATTACTGGAATGTGACACAGCTCTGAACACACCCCCCTTGTAAGCCAAACCACGGCAGTGACCCGCGGGGTTTGTGCGCACACCGCCCGAAACACGGTCCGAGGGCCCGGACACGAGCAGACGCACGCGAATGCGCCCATGTGCAAAAAAGTTTGGGGGCTCTTTCGGTTTCTTTGCTTTGGGCTTTTAAGGAGACAATAGCAGCGCTGTCAAACCGCAGCGACGCGTTTGAAGGATAACGGTTTTTTTCCCCCAAAGATTTACGCGCTAGGGTTTCCGCAACGTGACGGGAAAGTTGCGGCAAAGGCGCAAAAAAAAGTAGTTAATTATTGAAGTATTTATAAACATATTGATAAATAATTGAGTAAGATCACCTTGTTTGACACACTTGAGCCGGACGGGGTCCTTGCTGTGCTTGACCACAGCGTGGACGTCCCTAGTGGTGAGCCCGGCCACCGGGGTGTCGTTGACTTCCAGGAGGAGTTCATCCTGGCAGAGTTTGCGGCTGTGGCACGGCTCTGTTCCCGGGGGGAGCTGGCCGATGGTGGGGAACTGGCCGTTCTCCGCGCCACCCTGCAGCTCCAGCCCCAGGTCCCCCTCCCCGTTCCTGCACAGGACACTCTCGTGGACTTTGTTGGTCCAGTGGTTCTTCCTCTTCTTCAGGCTCTTGGACATGGCTCAAAGACGGGAGGAGGAGGGAGGAGAGGAGAGGAGGGGGGGAAAGAAAGGGGGGAAAAAAAATCACATGAGTGCAGTCTGGGAAGTAGTTTTTTCTCGCTCTTAAAGTCTCACAGCGTCGCGGATCGCATCGCAAACTGTCCCGGGTTCAGTCGCAAACTGCGGTAGGATCCATGTCAGCGGACGCACTCGCGCGCACGGCAGCTGGATCATCAGTCTGGCTTTGCGATAAGTGAGAGCTGCCCAACTTGTGCTGCGTTTGCGGTCCATCTCAAAGATCGGACACGATAACACCGGTGTGCACTATCGACTCAGCGAACAAGGGATTCTGTTATCAAGTGGAACCAAAGTAATATGATGCCCTGCTTTTTGGCTGATGGGAGCTTTAGGGCCCAGAATAACAAGAGAACTTTACTCTTTTAGTGCCCAAACGCCTTCTAACTAACACTGTAACACTATACGTACACATAAACACAACACAAAGAACAAAGTTAACTGAATCAGGCACAAAGTTTAATCACACTTGAACATTCAGTGTGTTTTTCACATAATTTGTAATGTTGTGAGGAATGGCTGAATCTGTCCATACATATTTTTTTAGATGATTTACTAAAAGCTGTCGTGCTTGAAAGGTTTATCGATTGCAACAGTTTTTTTCAAAATAAGCCTAATTTTGAAATGGCGAGAAGTGATTAGTTGAATAAGGAAGTGAGTTAACTTTCCACCTTTAAAGTTTCCAAATAATTGAGGGATTTTGAAAGCAGCATCGAGCTCCAGCCAACCAAACTGACCCGGATGTTAGGGCTGAAGGAGGAGGAGGAGGAGGAGGAGGAGGAGGAAGAGAGAGGCAAGGGTTTTCCCAAATCCAGCTTTCCACTGGAAAAAAAAAGGAAAAGAAAGAGAGAAAGCGAGTGCACGGCTGTGGTATTTCCACTGGCACGAGCACAGAGCAGCCATACTGTCACCGCACTTTTACAGGCCTCTTCCCTTTGACACTCTGGAATTTCAAATGCCATAGTTGGTAAAAGGATTGAGAAGTACCTGCAAGCTGACAGGGAGCCAGATCAGAGCATGATATCTCCAAAGTGTACCGTTTCGTCCATGTAACTGCGCCATAGTTTCTCATTTTATTGAACACCTGGAAGGCCTGCAGTGAATTTAATATTTTCTCAATGATTTTCTATACTTCTGAAGCAAATCTCATGGCCTGTTTTGGTATTTATGATATGCACATTCTGGAAGAGATTTGTCATTGGGAAATGAAATCGCCCTGAAGGGAAAATGTTGTCGGGCTCATCTGAGCCTAGATAAAATGTCACATAAAGAAAAAGGAAAATTGAGTGATTATAATCATCAAGCAAATATGTGTTACAGGTTTTCCTTCTCTGGAATGAGAAAACTTTCATTATTCTCTATAATTGGGCATCCTCTCACAATCCCTGCTCATGCTAACTTTGGGTAACGATATCAGGCTGTTTTGCTTCAAAAGCAGGATAAACAGTATGGTCACTGTTATTCTAACTCAGAAACAAAAAAGTGCTGCAGAAGCAGGAAATCCATAAATGGAAAAAAAACAACAACATAATGTCAAATTTATTTGAGATTGGAGACTTTCCTCTGGTTGCCAGAAAAAAATGCAAGGACCCGTTCCTATGGACTTGAAGTCCAGGCAGTTTTTTTCCATCCTCGATATATAGTAAACAGACATATAAACAGTTTTTTTTGTCAAACTTTATTTAAACACTGCAACAATCAAATCTCAGATTGAGATCCTGACGGTTATGTCTGGGTTTGGCTCTTTAAAAAGCATTATCCTTTGTTCATTTGTCACTCCCACCCTGAGCGCTTGCCTTTCAAAACACATCACCAAGTGCTGTCTGGTTTCAGTCTCTCCACTTTGATGGCTGAGATCTTATCGTTCGGCACTTGGCTGTTCTTCCCTAACTCATTTCTGTTGGCTTTATGCGAGAGGAAAACTGCCGTTTACGCACGTTTGTAAATCACAGGTGTGATTCTAATGGGAACATTCTCGGCAGCGCGGTTTAATGCCGAGCATATTTTCTGACTCACATGTAAAATCTGCCAGGACTGATCTAAAGTCCATAAATCCAAGTCTAAATGTAATAAATGCAGCCCGTGCTTATCACTAGTCTGGGGAGCGAAAGATGAAATAGCAGATGCCGAGACTTAGTTGTCAGTCGTGCATTAATGTGAGGGGTCGATGGGGATTGGGATGATGGAGGGGTTGGGGGTTGGGGGGGGCTGCATGGGGAGAGTGGAGTGAAAATTAAAATCCAAAGAAAGAAAGCAACAGGAGAAGGGGAGTGTTTTAACAAGGCCAGGAATTCTGGAGGCCATGTTTGAAGAAGGATAGGAATGCTCTGCGCGTGGCAGAATAAGAGCCGGGGGAGAAGAGGAAAACATCAGCAGCTCGGAGAATGAGATGACTGTAAAAAAAAAACTGCGGGATTAAATTGTAACGGGTGGGCGGCAGCCTGGCACCGCGAGCCCGAAAGGGCGGGATGAGAGGGCAATTCACAGCTTATGTCCTCGCAGAACCATTTAAAAATCTCAACGCGAAATACGATCGCTTCTTGAGAAGCAATTGTATGGCACAACACACACACACACACACACACACACACACAAACAAACCAGTTTGTAGTCTCTTTGAGGCTTCAAATTGCAGGAAACTGCATTCAGCCATCCGCTACATCTGCACGACCAGATGGGAGTTCAATGGCTCATCCTGTGAAACTGCCCCCGGGATTGCCACAGCGCTCTGCTACATGATGTAATGGTTATGACGGGCCTCATTGAAAGACAATTAAAGCTGGTTGGGGATAAAAATCAAATCGTCTGATGGTGCTTTCCACCGCCGGCAAAAAGGGGAAGCTAATAAATGCAGCCATTCCAGTTCCAGTCCTGTCATTTTTGGGACGATTTGGCCAGGTGGTTCAGGGATGAATGAGTGAACAAAAGCTGCTCTTCTTTCAGTCACTTGGAGTGGTCGTTTCATCTCTCGCAGGCTGATTCCATCCGAAAGAACTTGACCTGTGTAGGTAACAGCCATCTGTTTAGCCCAGAAAAGATCCGGTCTATCTCTCCGCCTGTCCTGTTGCTCAACACTCACAGATAAAAGGCCGCCAAGCTCTGGCAGCATCATCCCCGGCTTTGCTTGAAAGAGTCTGCAAACACTTTAGTGTCAGGGACGGTCGAGAAAATACATTTTAGTTTAAGCTTGAAACCATAAAGAACACCCCGGACCTACCAAAGCCTTGGATATTAACTTGACATATGAATAAAAGATAAATGCTTTTATATTTGGATGTTGTGAAGGATCCAGATATGGTCTTTCAGGCCAAGGAGAGTATAAAGATGAACAGAATGAACTTTTAATCAAAACGAATAATTAACTTGTGCAGCAAAGCAAGATGAATTGGTTCAAATCCAACAGAAATTCAAGTAGGGATTATGTAGATGATCTTATAAACAGCAAGAATCAGTGCGAAATATTCAATCAACCGATGAAAAATTAGGTGATGAATAAAAGAAACAAAAAATAAATCAGGAGATGAATGTAAAGAAAGTAAAGAATGGAAATAAATGTACTAAACATCTTGGACATTGAGATGAAGAAACAGTAACAGTAATATACAGCAATGAATCCAAATAAATTCTCAATACAAGAAAGACAGAAGCAAAAAAAAAGACCATTCACAATTGTAGTTTATTCCACTTCGTTGTAGATTTTATACTGTACTCATGCACAGAATAATCACAGACATAACTTTTTATCCATATTTTCAGATACTGAAAGACACCATGGTTGGTAGTTTTACTTTTTTTTTAAAGATGCTTTATCTGAAGATCTAAAAAGAAAACAACCCTTTCCTTTCCACTTTCAGTTCTGTTTATATGACATGTTACTTAAAATAGAAATAACTAGCCTTCAAAGTAGACAAAATTAGCCTTAGGCGAACTATAAAAAGCATGATTCTGGCCCAAGCCTCCGTAATACGAGCTGAAGAAGAATCAGGATGACAGTCATTCTACATCGTTTTCTGACTATTTTTACAACAAAAAAAGATGTTCTTGTCATTTAGATTTAAAGTTCTTAACATGCTGTGCAGACATACAAATGGAGGGAGATTGGGTCTGTTAGCCCCCCGGTGATGACACACAGTAACGAGTAAGTGCACAAGTGCAACCACAAGACTGATCTATATAAAACACTGGCCCTAACTCCAGTCAGGTCATGGAGACAGCAGGTTCAGTGGAGACATAGCCCACCTGGCCGCTTAGAACCTGTTGGCTCCACCAGGCGACTCCCAGGAAGACAAATTCACAACCCATTAACAGAGGTAGGAACATTTATTTATCCAGAATTCTGTTGTTTATGGCCACCATCTCAAATAATTTCCCCCATTGGTCACACGGTTTCAGCTTGAATGGATGAGTGCCATTTACCAGGCTTTAAAAATAAAAAAAGAATCACTAAACCGGTAAAGAATTCCACATCTCATTCCTGCAAAACACATAATCATTGTGGAGCAGTCAGTCGTCTTTAAAGAGCTCATCACTCATCTGACGTGGAGCCACGAAACTATTGCCATGCAATCAACACTGTGACAGGTTGATAGACTTTCACAAGCCTCTCCTGATATTCTTTCATGAAACGATTCAAAGTCATGAAACCGGATGTCTGACGGTCTACTATCAAATAAAAAATGGACAACTCTTTGGTCATCTGTATCGGTTAAAGCAATCTTTGTTTTTTTTGTCGCTGAATATTCCTTGTTCACATAGTTCGGGCACTTGTGTCGATGTTCCAGTAAAGGCCCTGAAAATGCAGGAATTCATTTGTATCTTGCCACGCAGCAACAAACCATTTGGATTAAAACACACGTTTTGCCTCTCTTGCCGCAGAATCGGAGACATCTTTGAAGTGCAATGCATTGGATTTAGGAGAGCATTACTGCCTCTGCTCACCACCT